GTAAATGCCAAAAACAGGCTCATTCATAGATTCCCTATAATATTATTAGCAGGTGCAGTATAATGGCGATATAGTAGAAAAACCAACCGAGTTCTAGTAAAGAAGGTGACATGATTCCATAATAAAGCAAGGCCATGTCCAATCCAGGGAAACCAATAAGGTGCTAGTCGCACCGTCTGTGATTTTGAAGGGTCTCGCTCACGTCGACTTTGAAGCCCTGAGATTATTCGGGTTGTAATGCATACGAACACCACAACAGCAAAAACTGTTGACCAGTTTATACCGAAATATTTTTCACGGGCAGCCTGTATAAGACGCAAAGCTTCGTACCTTTCCATTGTGATCGAATCAATATTGCCCAAAACAAACCCTACCAAGATAACACGGGTTTACAGCGCCAGCACCCACTCAAGGGCTCGAGATATGTAATGGGGTATAGCAGACAAATTGGGATGGATCAACTCCAGAGATTTTCAAAATTAATATATCCCAGGTGCAGGGTGAAGGGACACGATGGCGAATGGAGGCCCGGGTCTTTTTCTGGCTTACTAAGCTCGTTTGGTCTCAGCTTCCCCAGGGCTATTTTTGTTGATGATTCTTATTGATTTTTAATATTTTCAAAATAGTTAGATTGTGCTTTATTGTTATATTATGAAGGCCCTCAGATAATCATGTGAAGACTCTCGTGGTCGGATCAAACGATATCATGATTTGATTTGCGTTGATACTTCCCTGAGACCAACAACAGATCGAGATTCCATAATAAATTTGATATCGTAGAACAGGAGTTGAACAAAGAAAGGACGAGATTCAGTACCATAGTGCATTGGAGCATAGTATTTGACTTTCTGGGAATTACTTGAATTAAAGGCGATCATGTTCTAATGGAGTGATCTTGAGATGAGATTGATATGCAGTAGATAAAAGTTCAATTCTCCTTCTGCAAAGACTTCGACAAGGCAGCACTTTCACCTTCGTACTTGAGAATCTTCGATTGCGACCCGTGAACTTTGCGCAGAAGCCACTCGATCCGCGTCGTTAGCTCCCAGGGGTATTTGGGCAGCGACCCAAGGACTCGTAGCTCCTCCTCATACTTTGTAATATTTGAATTCTCGTTGCCGATGAGCTGTGAGAGAATTAACAGATCAAGGCGGCTCTGTAGGGTCTTGTTCGCAACTAGACGTTGGAAAGCAGCGTGATACACGGGTTTCCCCGGCTTAACGTATCGTGGGAATCCTTTGTCGGTTCCGATGGAGACGAGCTCTGCTTGCTCTAGTGCCCGGAGAGTGGCCTCGCCATTATCCTTGAATATATCCTCGAGGAGGACTTTGGTGTACAACAGGCTTCCATCCTTGGAGTTGGCGATGGATTTGATCAGGTGCCACGCCTGTTCACGGGTCCACTGAGGCGTAATCGACTCGGTTCCTAGAATGAATATCTTCAGAATCTCAGACGCTGATTGTTCGATAATACGGTTCATGGCAGCTATACAACGGTTAATAGAACTCCCGAGGTAAAGCAAAAGACAAAGTTACCTTCAGGGGTCTCCCCGGCCTCAATCCGATGGGCCATGAACTCCAAATCAGTAACTCGACCACCCAGCACCTTGATACAATAATCTAGGCCACGAAGTGTCTCTTTGCGCCTTGCATTCTGCTCATCGTCACTATTGCCTGCCTCTGCGTCCAGATGACTCAACACGAAACGACGGCCAACTTCGAGCGAGCAGTCACCCAAGGCAATTGTGCGGAACACTTGATTAGGCATGGCTTTACTCAATGGCTTTGCAAAAGAGGAGTCGGTAGTCAAGAAGACGACATGGGCGATGTTTGCAGACGTCAAACCAGCCGCCCATTCAGTAAGTTTGTCGAGCACGACGCTGTCGTCCGCGTCATAGACAAAGTTGTCAATTACAACAACAGGTCTCACTTCAGGATGGGCCTCTAGGTATTCATCGTCGGACATGTTGAAGTCTTTGTCGTCCTTTCGTCTACTTTCCAAGGCGACGCGCTTCATGGCGACACCAGTATTCTGCCAGATCTTGCTCAGCTGCGCATCTAGCGTCTCGGAGAAGCCGGCTTTGGTTCCAATCATTCCCTGTGCAGCAAGGTCAATGAAGCTGCTGATGCTGTTCATCCAAGAGAAAATCGGCCGGTAGCCGACCTGGGCAGCTGCTCGTGAGATCTTGGCTGTATCACCCCGAGCATCTTGAATTTGCTTGCAGTCAATGATGACCTTATACTTGTGCTCTTTCAGAGCTTGCTCCAAAACCAACTCGCGTTTCCCCGAGCCCCGTGGACCATGAATAACAATGAAGGTCTCCGCGGTCTCCGTTAACCAGGCTCGCAGTTGCACAATCTCTTTTTGCCGGTCTTCCCAGATAGCCGCTAGACCTCGCGGGTCCGACTTTCGCTTCCCAAATGAGAACATGCTCGCTTTGCTGGCCTGTTCGCGAACCCACTGCAGAACTGGATTCTCTCCGCTCTGGAACGACGACTTGATTTTGAGCGTAATGAAGAACGTGCGAATTGGATCGAATATAATGACCGTTATTGTAGCTAACAGAGCAGCTATAGCAGGGATCACTAGTCTCGGATGGTTCAAAATCCAATCCTTGATCATAAACAGCTTGATCTTGCGCTCGTAATTGATCCTAAACCTTGTACCGGACTTGCCACCCCCTCCTTCTTCGGAGACGATAAAGCCATGCATGCAGTTTCTTGCCATGACGGCGAACCGAGGGCGTTCGAATCGCAGTGTTGCATATCGTGGTTCGACCTTCGAATCTGAAGACTGTGTTTGGATGTCCAGAATCTTGCCATAAGGCCGGAACAGTGAGTATAGGGTCTCTTGGGTCAATTCGGCTGCTGAGTTATCTGGGGACGTTGGCAGGAATTCCACCTTTAGAGTCTGGCTTGGGATTCTATAGAGGTCTTCGATCCACGGCGTTCCGCGAACAAGGTCTGCATCGACTTTCAGGATCGGATTAAACCATGGGGTGATAGGATTGGTTCTCAGATGCTCCTTGATTGCATCCTGGATACTTTCGTTGCTGATGTCTGACTTGAGCGCATACTTCACGAACGCGCCTCCTTCTTTGTACCTCGTCACGACCTCTTTGATTTCCAGATCTAGTTCTTTGGGCAAAGCTCGTTGAACAATACGAGCCGGGTCAGCTGCTGCTAGTCCTGGATTGTTGACTCGTGCCAAAATTCCCTCGAGAGACTGAATATGGCTGAGGGGTCCCCGCAGCAGCCATTGTAATCGGTGCGGAAATATATCTAGAGCTAGTTAGCAGGTAAACATGATAGTTTCCGATGACTTGGCGCTCACTGTTGACATAAATAATGCCTTCGTTTTCTCCTACTGATATATGTCCCGATTTGATACTAGAAGATGTGGGTCGTATCGTAGAGCGTTCCCAAAGCGAAGGTCTCCACCCCCGAAACGCATTGGCGTTGATATGAGAGCGTGTGGGAGACCAAACGGCCAACGGGCCTTTTGATAGGGGCAGCATGCTCATTCTGGTGACAGACTCATACCGAATAGAAGAGGGAAGAAGCTTGGAAGAGCGATCAAGTTGTTTGATTAAAAGTGCCCGAATTAATGACGTCGGTTCGTGATTATCACCTGTTATCTGTATCACGTGATATGTGATTACCGCGAAAAAAAGATAACCTCGCGATTTCAAGGTGTCACGATAGAACCACCAATTCCTTCTACTTATAAAACAAAATGGGCTGGCTGTGGGGATCAAGTCATAAGGAACTTCCTAAGGATATTCCACCCACAATTCCTACGGAACCAGCAAAGCAGATTACACCATCGAAGACCTTGACCCCCGACGAACAAGCCGACTTGGAATTCAACCAAATCCTGGCCGATCTCAGAGCTGAGGATGCGTCTCTCTCAAAACGAACAGGTCTAACTCCTGATGGCAATTCGTTGCCAGAATCTCAAACACCTTCATCACCCATCTCTCCCGAATCCCTCTACCAAGATACCATGTCCTGCCGCAATGCCTTCGACTACGCCTTCTTCTGTCAGTCTTTTGGGGGCCAATTTGTGAATGTTTATCGATATGGAGAACTACGGTCATGCAGCGATCACTGGGATAATCTATGGCTGTGTATGAAAACACGGACTTGGCCGGATGATTTGCGCAGGAGAGAGATCCGAGACCACAACCGGAAGAAATCGATCAAGTATAAGACAGGCCCCAGCAGTGAGGATGTCTGGGATGTGCGGTTAGACCCAGCCAAAGAGTCATTCAAGGGAGATTTTGCCGCAATGTGGCAGGAGATGAAGGCCGAAGATGAAGCAGCGAAACAACAGGCGGAACAGGCGGTTTCATGATGTCCCTGGTGTCTCTGCTCCCTTCTTGTTACGATATGTATATATGCGCCTTTTGTTTCATTTACCCATGTATAATACGATACTCTCCATTTCCCCTTTGTATCAGCGTTTGTTCGATGGTCATATGGAGGACCCCACGGATCGCATATAGCGCTTTGAAGGTTGTTCTTGTTACCAATACTGTATAGTATTACATGCTCCGACTTTACTTTCTTAGATCTGCTCTAGATGGCCTCTATAACTATGCCCACAGTTTATAAAAAATTTACTGAAGGGAGATGATGATGCTGAAATTGATCGATTAGAGTAAAATGCTTCAAGAGATGCCGCACAAATGGCCTAAAAGTTGGAAGAAAATATTAGCAGAAATCTTAAAAGGTCTCAGCCCCCATAGACACAAGAGACATGTCTCGCGATATCAAAGTGGAAACCCCGAACTTACCTTATATCCTTTCATAGTAGTTTGGACTGGGAAGCTGTGAGTAGCCACCGTGCATATAAAGACTCAACTGCGGAGCAAGCTTGTAAGACCTATTTTAAAGAACAATTCGACAAGTTAGCATCCAGTAGTTCAATGGAAGACAGGTAACCAAGATGATATTCTCCAATTCTCTGGTTGTCCAAACGAGTCCTTCATTCTTTTATTATTCTTCGTCTTCCTCCCTTAGAGGCTGGAGCCGTGTGTTGATGTGATTCCTTACTCGATCCTCAATATCCGCTATCCTAGCATTGACAGAACTGCCACTGCCCGTGCTACGCTTAGAGGAGACCACACTAGCTACAGATAAAGGAGTGACCTTTGGTATGGCCACTGGCCCAATCCCCGGATCGGCATCGAGGTTCAAATTCTTGCTGAGTCTCTTTACCTTCGCGCTAGCGGGATGGTCAGCAGTGAGCTTGGCCATGGCAGCAGTGAGATCAGCGATATCAGGTGGGCCGGGCCCAACAGCTGGAGTAGAACGACCGCTCAATTCCCAACAGTGGGAGGTGGGAGGCCTAGCGTGACTTCCGGCCTCCGTGAAGTTCTTGTGCATCTTTGTTCGGAGGCTGGCCTCGACACTCCTACCACGCCCCGATACTCGACCATCATTATAGTGACGGATGGAACGTCGCTCCCCGTCAACCTCGCGGTCAGTGACGAAGCCGTTTGGATTGAGGTCGCTCGCGGCCTCGGTTGTCTTGACGGTTTCGTTGCCCATGTGTGTGATAGATAGGATACGTGCTGTGAAATAGGTCAGTTGGATTAGTTAGGATGGAATGGAATGGTCTGAAAAAGTAAGGGATATATATATAAGGACAGTTATATATTTTAGCTATCAAATTTAGTTATGTAAGTCTAACAAGGGGAAATAGCCAAAGAAAAGAAGCACAAAGACATTGTCGACTCTTCAGCTCTTTGTTCTTTAAGATAAAAGACAGAGATTTTCATTCAAATTTACAGACGAGATTGAAATAATGATGGAACATAGTTAGATTTGCAGAAAAGCTATGTACATCAGAAATAGAGAGATCACCGAATGGCAGACGCTCTAAACACCTTGCAAACTTGGGGGAGGAGAAGAGGAAGAAAAATAAAAGCGGAGGTGAAAACGCTGGAGCAAAAAAAAAGATAAAACCAAAGAAATAAGATAATAAGGTAGAAAGCAAAACTCAAGAGAGCGCAGTACTGGAGGCTTTTTCATTCGCGCAGAGAACCAACCCCATGGAATCCCGTCTAAGTCACAAGTTTATCCCATTTGATGAACTTTTCCGCATCGAAATGAAAAATTTTAGCGTGATAAATGGCCGTCAAAGTCGTAAACATGTCCCGCACCGCTAGATTAAGCAGCAACCTCAGTGGGTTGGGGGACGGAGTCGATGGCAGGACGACGGACGATACCACCGGTGACCGGGAGCTGGGAGCTGGTTCCGCTGAGGAAAGCATCGACTTCGCGAGCACACTGGCGACCTTCGTTGATACCCCTGGAATTATATTAGTCAAAGTTTCGGGCTATACGGATTGAACGGAACTCACCAGACGATCAAAGACTGTCCACGGCGACAGTCACCTGCCGCATAAACACCGGGGATGTTGGTCGAGTAGTGGCCGGGAGGAGTCTTGATGTTCTTGCGAGGATCAAGCTCAATATCCTCACCAAAGACGCGATCCTCGGGGCCCAAGAATCCCATAGAGAGGAGGACAAGGTCCGCGGGGAAGAATTGCTCGCTACCCTCGACGGTCTTCATGTCCCAGCCGCCAGTAGCGCTCTTGGTCCACTCGACCCGGACAGTGTTGATGCCCTTGACGTGGTTGTTGCCATCGTCAACAAACTCGGTCGACATGACACAGTACTCACGTGGGTCCTTGCCCATGTGTGTCTTGACCTCGGTGTGACCATAATCGACACGGTAGATACGGGGCCACTGAGGCCAGGGGTTGTCACGGGCACGCTCTGGGGGAGGCTGGGGCAACAACTCGAAGTTGGTCACCGACTTCGCACCATGGCGGACAGAGGTACCAATACAATCATTGCCGGTATCACCACCACCGATAACGACAACATGCTTGTCCTTAGCAGAGATGTATTCGCCATCTGAAAGACCAGAGTCGAGGAGGGACTTGGTGTTCTTATGCAAGAACTGCATGGCAAAGTGCACGCCATCCAGTTCGCGGCCAGTGACCTTGAGATCACGCGCAACAGTGGCACCTGTAGCAACAATGACAGCATCATTTACGGCGCGGAGTGACTGCAGAGAAACCTCGCAGTCAGGGCCAACAGCAGTGCTCGCAACAAACTTGATACCTTCAGCGGCCATGAAGTCGATACGGCGCTGGACAACCTTCTTGTCAAGCTTCATGTTGGGGATGCCATACATGAGAAGACCACCCATTCGGTCGGCACGCTCATAAACAGTGACGCTGTGACCAGCGCGGTTAAGCTGATCGGCAGCAGCCAAGCCAGCAGGCCCAGAGCCGATGATAGCGATGGTCTTGCCAGAGCGGGTCTTAGGAGGGCAGGGAACCATCCAGCCCATCTCAAATCCACGGTCAATGATCGCGCACTCGATGGATTTGATACCAACGGGGTCTTCGTTAATGCCTAGAACACATGAGCCTTCGCAAGGTGCAGGGCAGACACGACCGGTGAACTCGGGGAAGTTGTTGGTCATGAGCAGGCGGTTCAAAGCATCCTGCCAGTTTCCCTGGAAGAGTAGCTCATTCCACTTGGGAATGATGTTGGAAATGGGACAGCCAGTATCGGACTGGCAGAATGGAACACCACAGTCCATACAGCGGGCAGACTGGTACTTGAGCTCGTCCTCGCTGAGGCGGTGGGAGATCTCGCCCCAGTCACGAGTACGGGTTGTCGCGTTGCGATACTTCTCACTGCGGCGGCTGTACTTCATGAAGCCTCTTGTTTTGTCCAAGATCAACGCAGAACGCTTCTTCTCAGTCTTCGAATCGCTAATGCTGTCTTCAATATCCAGCAAGTCAGCCTTCTTGGAGTCGTCGACCTTCGCTGTCTCGGCTTTGATCGGGGTGCTAGGAAGCCGAGGAAGAGTGAATTCGGCTTTCTTCGCAGCCTCTGCCTTGGCGGCATCTTCCTCCATGACGCGCTTGTAGTCGGTTGGCAGAACCTTGACGAAGTGGGGGAGAGCACGATTGAAGTCAAGCAGAATGCGAGCAGCCAACTCAGAGCCAGTATAATGGTGGTGATCTTCAACCAAACCACGAACAAAGGCAATCTCCGATGGGTCTTCGATACTGGAGATCTCAACCATCTCCAAGTTGACCTTGGAATGGAAGTCCTGGTTCTTATCCAGAACATAGGCGATACCACCAGACATACCAGCAGCGAAGTTGCGGCCAGTGGGTCCGAGGTTGAGTACACGACCACCAGTCATGTACTCACATCCGTGGTCACCGACACCCTCAACGACAACAGTGGCACCAGAGTTACGGACAGCAAAACGCTCAGCAGCCATACCGCGGAAGTAGCAAGTTCCGCGGGTGGCACCGTAAAGGCAGGTGTTACCGACGATGACGTTTTCTTCGGCCTTGAAAGCGGCTCCGCGCGGGGGGTAGACGATGAGACGGCCACCAGAGAGACCCTTGCCGACATAGTCGTTGGCATCACCCTCGAGCTCAAGAGTGACACCGGGGGCGAGGAAGGCACCAAAGGACTGACCAGCAGAGCCCTTGATGTTCGCGTGGATGGTATCCTGAGGAAGACCAGCTTCGCCGTAGCGTCTGCTGATCTGATAGGAGAGGGTAGCACCCAGGGCACGGTCGGTGTTAACGATATCACACTCAATTCGGCAGGGTAGACCCTTCTCAAGAGCGAGTTCCGATTCAGCAATCAACTTGTTGTCTAAGCGGGTGTGAAGGCGGTGATCCTGCTTGCGAACATTGTAGGTAGCGACTCCGGGGCGAAGTGAGTGAGCGGGGGTCAGGATAAGTGACAGGTCAATTCGTTCCTGTTTGACATTGCGAATATCGTCCCGGACCTTAAGCAGCTCAGCACGACCGACCATCTCGTTGACCGAACGAACACCCAGCTTGGCCATGATAGCACGCATCTCATTGGCGACATAGTAGAAGAAGTTGATAACATGCTCTGGTGTACCCTTGAATTTCTGCCTCAGTTCGGGATCCTGAGTCGCGATACCGACAGGACAGGTATTCAGGTGACATTTCTAGGGAAAATATATTTGTTAATAGGCCGCTCGTTAGGAAATCAGAGATTGAAATGTACTCACCCTCATCATAATGCATCCTAATGCGATCAGAGGAGTTGTGGCAAACCCATATTCTTCCGCTCCAAGTAGACAGGCGATGGCAAGGTCACGGCCGGTACGGATTTGGCCATCAGTCTGGACCACAACACGACCACGAAGATCGTTCAAAACAAGAGTTTGATGCGTCTCTGCAAGACCCAATTCCCAAGGAAGACCGGCGTACTTGATACCGGTCCAGCGCGAGGCACCGGTGCCACCATCATGGCCAGAGATCAAGATGTGATCAGCCTTGGCCTTGGCCACACCCGAGGCGACAATACCCACACCAACCTCAGATACGAGCTTAACGGAGACACGAGCTCGGGGGTTAGAGCACTTGAGATCATAGATAAGCTGCTTCAGATCTTCAATAGAGTAGATGTCGTGGTGCGGAGGCGGGGAGATAAGACCGACTCCCGGTGTGGAGAACCGAGTGCGAGCAATGGGACCGACGACCTTGTGGCCGGGTAATTCACCACCCTCACCGGGCTTGGCACCCTGGGCCATCTTGATCTGCAGTTCATCAGCGTCGGCTAGGTAGTTGGATGTAACACCGAAACGACCAGAAGCAATCTGCTTGATGGCGGACCGCATCGTGTCGCCGTTCTCCATTCTCTTGCTACGCTCGGCATCTTCGCCACCTTCACCAGTGTTGGACTTGCCGCCCAAGCGGTTCATGGCAATGGCAATTGTAGAGTGGGATTCCATGGAGATAGATCCGTAGGACATGGCACCGGTCACGAAGCGGCGGACAATTTCGGTCCAAGGCTCGACCTGATCAATGGGAATAGGGGTTCTCTGATCGAAATCGAAGTCTAGCATGCCACGCAAAGTACAGTTCTTGATCTGCTCATGTGCGGACTTGGCATAGGCCTCGTAGGACTTGTCGTTCTTGGTGCGAACGGCATCCTGCACATTGGCAATACTGGTGGGGTCGTTGATATGGGCCTCTCCTCCATCACGCCAGTGGTACTCGCCAGATTCAGGCAGACCGGGGACTTCTACAATTGGACGCGAAGGGTAACCGCGCTCGTGGAAGGCGAAAGCATCCTGGGCAATCAGATCAAATGTAATACCACGAATGCGACTGGCAGTACCAGAGAAGCAGCGATCAATAACGCTGTCATCAATACCAAGGGCTTCGAAAATCTGGGCACCCTTGTAGGACTGGAGAGTAGAGATACCCATCTTACTCATGACCTTGAGGATACCACCATCACAGGAGGACTTGTAGTTCTCAATCACCTTCTCGTCGGGGATATCCTTGCGGATCAACTTTTCCCGGTTCATCTTGAGAATACATTCCAGAGCCAGGTAAGGGTTGATTGCATCGGCACCATATCCTAGCAGAACACAGTGGTGGTGGACCTCGCGAGCCTCGGCAGTTTCAACTGCTAGGGCGGCAAGCGACCTCCACTTGTTTCGGACGAGATGGTGGTGC